CCGCCGATAACTAGATGTATATTAACAACACCCCTTGCCCCATTTCAGATTCTGAACTGTACCTACTCTAACTAGTGAATGAACGTAAAAATATAAGGCTTCCATTTGCTCTAGTTTCCGAAGTTACGTGTTGGCCAGTGTTATTTTTACCTAATTAATTAAAAAGGTTTTGCAGTTAAAAGTTATTTTTTCGAGTCTTGGTCGTATCGTCATCTCTTCTGAAGGAGGCCAAACACGTGTTATTTATTTTGTTTGGAATCATTATGAGATAATGCTATCAAAACTGTATTGCAGTTGTTTATTACGTTCCCATTAAATAAATCAAAGTCTGCCCGTAGTCGCCAATAGCGTCTTGCTGAATGGGCTGCGCCAGTGTCAGCACAAAATAAGCCGGGAACGGAAGCTGAACTGTAAAGACAAATACTAAATATCTAAAAAAACAAACAGTTTTTTAGATTAGGAATCATCACGCTGCGCTGTACGCTTTCAATGCGGGAAAGTCATGAAACGGGAAGATTAGTGTACTGTCTAGCTAGAGTTAATTAGCTTGCCGTCTACAGTTTCAGTTCAGTAGTATTCAACATCAAAACGCAAGTTAACATCACGGGTTGCGAGCATAATTCGCTCCAAGTTGGTACTTCTCGCCTAGCTGTTGAATAGGTCGAGCTCTCGCCTGGCGCGATGGCGGCGCGGGCGGCGACGTGACGACGGCGATTGTCTCAACTAGGCCGCTCTTGTTAACGCTATTGTCTACGCTCTGTTTATATCCACTTAGTGCGCGCCCGTTTGTTTTGGAAATATATTCCAACGACTTGCCAGTGGTGCCTCTACTAATTTGTCCGACCATGTTTGCAATTGAAATTTGCTCCGGCTGAAACACTCTGGAAAACCCGACTTCTCTATGTTTGTACGTGTTATTTCACGCCGCACGCTGTAGATTTATGAGATCACGACACTCGTTCTCAAGACGTAACGTTTATTTTTACTGTTTGTTAGGCCTCCAAGCTATAGGTTAAGTTCACGAGTCGGTAGGCCTTTGTTGTAAAATTTACGATTGGCGACTGTCGTGTCGTTTAATGATAAAAGTTTTGCTGGTTTTGTCCAACAACTGGTAACAGTTATAAGTTATAAAATCCACATAACTTTAGCCCGCTCCGTGTTCAGCTCGTTTGTGTAAATTATGAACGTGTACGTTATATTTGCCGTTCCCATAAAACAACCGTTTATTTCCGTAGCGTTCTGAAATACGATTACGAAGTCCTAAAAAGGTTATCTTTGAAAGCTTAAACGCCTTTTCTGTCCAGTTTTGTCAAAGTTTATGAATTGAAATAATATGAGCAACCTTTTTATAAATAAAAGTGTTCAGAGAATCGTGATCCTTGGTCAGACACTTGGTGCCTGTCCGGTTAATGCGATCGTGGCTTGCTGTCAGGCTGCGGCCGCAATGCGTGGGCGCGGGTCGTATGCGGGGAATGCGTCGCCACTCCGCCAGTGGCCACTGCGGTACGTGCCCACTAACTACGCGCCTCGCCGCATTCTCGACGCCGACCGCAAACGATCTGCGCGACAATTAACTTGCAAAATACACAGGAAAATCGCTTGACTCACTCGTTATCGCTTGACGTCAACTTGCGAGAGAAAGGCAACTTGGAAGCTTTAATGATCCGGAGCAGGGGGCGGAAATGTTAACTTAATGAACCGTTGAATTAAGAATTCTTTCGGATTCGTGATACTTCAATTAATTCTTGACTGCATTGCCGAAATTCAGCTCGTATAATTAAATATCTGAAAAGACCACGTAGTGCTTTTAATTGGAATTTTATAAGAATGTCGCAGCGAACAAAGGTAAGTCGGTGCAGTGGGAAAGCAAAGGCCTCGGCCGGCGGCGCGGTGACGGGCTCTGCCCTTGACTGAGCTGGTTCGCGCCATGACCAACGCTCGGGCACAATTGCTCAACGTAATGACCCTATTTTGAATCGCCAGAACTGGCAACGTCATTTAAACTAAATCTGATGAATTTGCTTTTAATGTACCTACTTGAATGCAGATTGAAAATCTAAATGATAACTTCATGTTGAGCTTTCAAAGTAGTGGTTTTTCCGAATACTGATTCTCAAGATTCTACAACTCAGCTGATGAAACTACTACAAATGAGTAGGTACTGTCTATAATTAGAAATATCTGTATTGTGGTCCTGGCTCCTAAACAGAATTTCAGGAGTCAGAATAAATGTCGGGTTTAAATCCTGTTTGAACAGTTTTGATTAGATTGTGTTGAACTATGTAGAGTTACTGATCAGCCTTGACCACAGTTTTGATCATTTTTCCAACTTTGTATACCAAAACTGACACTCCAAATAAACTTTAACCCATAACTATTTTGTGAGAAGCAGAAAGTCATGTGTTCACATTTGTGTGCAACGGGTACGCTATTTTTACGAGGCGGTGCTGGGCGAGAGTCGGCGGGCCGACCCCATTAACGCGGCGATACACCTCATTAAAGGTCGCCGTAAACAAATATACAGTGTGAGTCACGTTAAAGTGTACATATGAAAATAGATAAAACTAGACCTATTTTTATCGACAAAAAAGGGGTCAAAATTTTTTTGAGATTTTTTTTTAATTTTTTATATAATTTTTTTTCTTCCAATTACTTATTGTAAAGAAAACGTGATAACTTTTAAACTAAGCGGTATATCCTGATAAAATAAAAACAGTAATAATGCTAAATAATAGGCAATACTAAAACAATACAAAAAATACACAAAAAATGCCAAAAAATAATAAAAAATGATGCTTTTTGAAAAAAATCTGCTTAAAAATTCGTATTTTTTTGGTTATTTGATAAATTTCTCCAAAAAATGCCCCTATAACAGATGGTTTTTATTACTTTTTATTATTCTCTATCGTATTACTTTTGTAAAACCAAAAATCACATGGTCTCTATCCCTATCACAACATTTGCTATGATCGTTTGAACAAAGGCCTGCCACCACATTTTTCTCCGCTACAGGTAGAGACAATTTTAATTTTAACTTAAATGCTTATTTTACTTCGAAATCTTTTGTTTTTATTTGAAATCTAACTAGTCTTTATCAAAATTACAAATCTAGAGCCATTTTCAGTTTCGTTGTTAACGAAGCGTTGAATGGCGCGCCCGGAGAGGCTTTGTTCAAACGATTATTGCAAACGTTGTGATAGGGATAGAGACATGCGATTTTTGGTTTTACAAAAGTAATACGATAGAGAATAATAAAAAGTAATAAAAACCACCTGTTATAGGGGCATTTTTTGGAGAAATTTATCAAATAACCAAAAAAATACGAATTTTTAAGCAAATTTTTTTCAAAAAGTATCATTTTTTATTATTTTTTAACATTTTCTAGGTATTTCATGTATTTTTTAGTATCGCCTGTTATTTTGCGTTATTACTGTTTTTATTTTATCAGGATATACCGCTTAGTTTAAAAGTTATTACGTTTTCTTTACAATAAGTAATTGGAAGAAAAAATATTCTATAAAAAAATTTAAAAAAATCTCAAAAATTTTTTGACCTCTTTTTTATCGATAAAAGTAAGTCTAGTTTCATATATTTTCATATGTACACTTTAACGTGACTCACACTGTATGTGTATATGTGGGCGTGTATGCCACTAGCTTGTTATCTATGATTCACCGGCGCCCCGCCGTCTGCCGGCCGTCTGATCGCGCCACAACAATATAATGCCCCGATAATGGCCCACTGATGAGATTAAACTGCCTACCCTCACTCTTACTGCGCATTGTTTACGACCGTCTATTCTGAAATTCCAAGCCGCATGTTGCTTTCGCGCACTGCGAACTCGCAAACCCATTTATTCGCGCCGGCTGACGTAGATTGCGAATCGACGTCGACCGTGTAATAGGCCGTAGTTTCTCTCACGTAACACTAACATAACCAAATCGACCCACATAAAAGCTGCAATACCACTTTCGTCGTCGCAAATCACAGCCGCCCGTATCTCGGCCTCGGTCAATGCGTTGCGTGCATGTCGTATGCACATATACGGATGCAATAAAGTGCAACGAGAATTCGCAGGCTAGCGGCGCATGCCGCTCACGTGCCGTAGAAAACGAGAGTGATCGGGTGCGTCTCTCCGCCCACGATTGATGCGCCTAGGGTTGTTAATCTGACCTTTCATTCATTGCACTACAACTGCACTTGATACTCGTACCTCAAGTGCTCCCGGAAATTGCCGAAGGCCGCGAGGTGCAACAACGATTAATCACAATTTGCTTCACGCGCCCACTGCCTTTTATCATTAGAACACAGGTATTTTTACCCTCCAGCATCAAAATATTTAATCAGTCCCGCATTCATTGTGTGCATTTAACTACTGTCCAAACTTGTTTGTGTTTTCATTTCAAACACGCCTCTGGACAGAGCGCTGCATTTTATTTTCACTCATAACAAATGAATAATTCAATTGGTTTTGACATCCCTGCTGTTGCGTCTGGCTTAGACTAGGTCTCGTTAACTGTATTATTCAAATTGTGTGTACGTAGTGCGGCTTCGATCGATCACACGAGCCGGCAAAACGCCACCCGCTCCCATCTGTACACAAAACAACTAGCAGTTTGCATAACTAAATTGTTGCCGCGTTATCTCGAAACCACTAATCAACTGATTCGAGTTTGATGAACTTGAATTGTGACACACTACTCTCCATTCATGCTATTTCTGATATAATCTAATTGCGCTTCTTATAACGTCATCTTTTACACAATTTGTTGAATCTTGCGGTGTTAGTAGAGTAATCGTTGCGGTTAGTTTACTTCCAGTCCCAATAATAAACTATCATGTACCTATTTTCCTGAGGATTACGCAGACGATAATGCATCATGTGCCTTTGAAATACTTTTATCATTTTCAACAATTACCGATGTTTATTTTGTTGTGATCCTACTGAAATTAATTTCTTGAGAACGCAGTAGTTATAACGCACGTTTCATTATTTACAGGCACACAGAACGTAACGATGCCGCCGCGAACGTCGTCCTCGCTGCCGGACGGCAGCGGGCCCCCGCGGCCCGGGGGCCCTGGCGGGGCGCCGGGGCCCGCGCCGAGCCCCGTGCCGCCGCCGGGCGCGATGGTGGCGCAGCCCTACTCGCACCACGCGGCGTACAAGACGGCGCACTACCCGCCACAGCCCTACGGCTACCCGCCGCGGAACCACCACCCCTACCCGTATGGGTACCAGCCGCGGCCGCCGCCGCACCCGCCGCAACACTACCCGCCGCTAAAGGTTGGTACAATATTGCTCATCATTCCCATACAGCCGTGTGGTGACGGCAGAGTAGAATACATTTGTCACCAACCCCTACTTTTCCCGCGGGTGTCGTAAGAGGCGACATAGGAACTACACATCAAACAGAGAACGGGCAGCAGCGCTCTCTGAAAATATCAAACTTTTAAACTGCGATCTTTTAAATCCGCCTGCCATGCGTGGGGATTATAGCAAAACCCTCCACTATGGTGGAAGAGGCTCATAGTCCAGCAGTGGATTGTAAAGGGCTATTAATGATGATTCCCATACAGATCCCATGTAATAACAAAGTTACCTGTCAGCAAACCGTCTAGGTTAGAGTGCTAGTGTATGTACATACAGGTCATGAAGCAGTAATAAACGCTTTTTAACACCGAAATGTTTAGTCCGATGTGCTGTCAACATGACTTACGAATACGAAGCTACTATCATGTAGGTGTCTGTGTCATAGTTATTTAATTTTTAGCGTTAAGAGTAGCATCTCAAACTAATTTGAAAATTATAAATAACTTGAAAAAGTACCCGTATTACACTTGAAAATTTCGACGAGTTCATCCAGTGTCTAAGTAGCTCAGTTGGAAGAGCAGTCGCCCGGCAAGCGGAAGGTCGTGGGTTCAATTCCCGCCTTAGGCTGTCTGTGTCATGTCATGACTGAAAATTAACCCTTGTCACTTGCAATGTCTAATATTATCTCTTTGTCACACAACTTCATTAAATTCTAAATTCGCATTTTACCGACTTTGATCCTGTTGTTTGTGCAGCAGCAGCCACGTCACATGGGGCCCCCGACGCCCGGCGGCGGCGGGCCGGGCCCCGAGGGCGCTATGCCCCCACCGACTGCGCCAGGAGAAGCCCACGATAACGGGCCCGCAGCCCCCGCCATCGCGCTCGTCACCACGGGCCCTGATGGCGCGCCCTTAGACGAGGGTAGTCAGCAAAGTACGCTTAGCAACGCTTCTGCAGGTATGAGAGCGCATAATGTATTTAAATTATAATAGGTACTAGCTTTTGCCCGCGGTTTCACCCGCGTGAAATTTAGTTTGTCACAGATCGTCATAAATTATAGCCTATATGTTAATCTGGGTTATAAACAGTAATACTGTAAAGTTTCAACAAAATCCGTTCAGTTGTTTTTGCGTGAAAGAGTAACAAACATCCAGACATCCAGACATCATGACATCCAAACTTTCACATTTATAATATTAGTAGGAAGTAGGATGTTACAAGGTGGTAAATAAACCATTCGTCATTCCATCTTGGTGGTATTGATAATAGAGATGAAACGGNACACCCAGACCCGTCACAGAAATTAAAATTCATCATTTCAATTTCTGCCCGGCCGGGAATCGAACCCGGGACCTCTCGGCATAGTAGTCCGTTCTGAACCACTACACCAAACGGCCGACTATAAAAGAACAATCGATCGTATGTTATTGAATCGTTACTTTTTGACCGACAATCTATTTTTTCCTCGATTTTCACAAACTCTATCTCTACAAAATCACTTATGGCAACGATATTGTTGAAGAGTGATGATGGGGCTTTCTTTTTTATACAAAACAAGCGACCCGCCCTTGCTTCGCACAGGTATAGTTACCTAAAAACCTTCCTCTTGAAACACTAATAAAAAACAGCATCAAAATCCGCTGCATAGTTTTAAAGATATTAACATACATAGGGACAGACAGCGTAAAGCGACTTTGTTTTATACTATGTAATGCTATCTCCATTTACCACCATCTATCCTGGCTCAATTCCATTGGTTTACAGTAATATGTGTTTTTTTGTTTCCAGCATCAGGCGAGGAGCCCTGCGGGACGCCCAAAGGGCGCGGCAAGGACTACGGCGCGAGCAGTGCGGCGCCTTCGCCCTCGCCTGGAGGTGGAAGCCACTCGTCCGTGCACGACGACTACGACGCCTCGCCCTCGTGGCCGCGCCCGCCCTCTAGTCCCGTGAGTCCGCGACACGACGCGACGACACTACACGACACTGTCACACCACGCCACACGGCATCACTAGGGTTGACGCTCGCTGTCTATTGTTTACTTTATCCTGGACAAGGAGGATAGTGATACACATCTGAGATTGGTTACTTGTGCCTCTTTGAATAAGATCTAGGGAAATGCTCCTAAATCAAACTTAAGTTCTCAAAGTCACCAGCAGCTCAAATGTACACTACGGGTTGGCACATGTTTTTTAATCCTTGTCTAGATCGAGTGGCTTATGCCCGTTTTCACCATCAATCCCTAATTTAAGTGACCCTGACCCCTATGGTAACACTCATCAGCAATTTTGTTTTCATAGGGTTCACTTAAAAATTAGTGATTGATGGTGAAAACGGGCTTTATCCAAAAAGATTATTGATTTAGTCTATCTAAAAAGAAAAGAGTAATTTACAATCTGTATGATGATTTAAATAGCGAACGACAACCCTTCACATGAACTCTACCACAGTAGTTATCTGTTTCAACTTGTCCTGTCTCTGCAAGTGACCGTCCAACACGTACTGTTTGGGGCCTCTTCCACGATACGAGTCCGTTGCTCTGCACCTCACCTACCTTTGTTGAAGCTTCCCTTACCTCGCATGCTTGTGTCGACGCCGTTGCACAAATTTTACTTTTATACCTCTTCCAAATTGAAAATTGTAGACCGAGGAGTTGTATCGTGGAACACTCCACTTCAGCGCAAATGTCGACTGATCATTATGGCCATCAGTCATACAAACTTGTGACTGTCAGTTTATTGTATTGTATACGTTTTGTATCGTTTTATCTGTGTCCATGTACGGTGACGTGAGTGAAGTGGGGAAGCATTGCATTTTATCGTATCTTTCAGGTGTTTAACAGTCACATACCGCCGGAGTCCTACAGATCAAAGGTTTATATCTAGTTAAAGATCATTAAGCATGTGTAGTGCTCGACTCAGTTTATGAACACACTGTGTAACACTTAGATATTGCATGAATGTCGACTTCCTTCTGCATAATGTACGAATTATGCATACTGTTTATTGCATTCCTTGATTGTTATCTAAACGAAATTATGCAGCAGCATCAAAATAAAATGACTTGTTTAGCTTGTGCTAGAAATAATTGAACTTCGCTTTGCGCTATACTTTATACTTCCTGGTGTTGGCTATCGCTTGATGTAATCTGCGATTTTAATGTTCAAAATTGTAATAAAGTAGAAACACAAATTGAAAATGACAAGTCAATTTTAAGTTAATTAGTTGGTCATTTTATTTTGGACTTACCAGTTACCAGATATATGGTATTTTTTGAGTTGATGTTTTATTCTTCTCTTCACTTTGATCTTGGCATTTGAAGTGATCTTCGTTATGCCTTACCTCAACTTGGTCTTGGTTTGTTTCTACAGTAGATTTACATTTTCACTGTCTACAGTTTAATCGTTGCATACGAATGAACACATTTGTCTGCATGCACTTACTGTGTTGTGCTTGTGGTAGACTCTTCAAGTTTATGTTTACACTATACTATGTAAACTCAACAGTTTTAAATATAATTATGCTATGCTAGTTCTAGCGCGTTTTATTAAAGTATTGTCTAAAATGTATACTGTCTTGAAGCTCTATATTTTAGACGAATCACTTTAAAATTGGTTGCAGGAAGTCAGAATTATTTTTTGATATTTACTATTCACCATTCATAGCAATGCTTCGATAAGTTTTTATGTCATGTTTCCAGAATAATATAAAATATGTTGTCGTGCAGTTTCCTTATGGCATTTTTCAAGAAATCTTTATCTTTACTCTACTTATTGTATAATGTAGTTTCAAATATTGATATGGGTATAAATATCTTTATTTATCCAGAAGAATAAATAAATATCCAATAAGTAACATTATTGGTTTTCCATTTTCGGAATAAATAAACCGAACACATTGTGAAGCTACCTAATTCCCTTTTTGCCAATATTTACTGTAACGCAACTGGCATAAAGATCTATCCTGGCATTGCGCATCGCGGTTCTGGTGTATGATGATGACGTTTGCGCCAGAAGTCGGACTCGCTGGGCAAGCTGTACGAGATGGACGACGCGCCCGAGCGACGCGGCTGGGTGGAACGGCTGCTGGCCTTCATGGAGGAGCGGCGCACACCCATCGCTGCCTGCCCCACCATCTCCAAGCAGCCGCTTGACCTCTACCGCTTGTATCTGTTGGTACGCGACCGCGGCGGCTTCGTAGAGGTCAGTACCGAGTAAAACCACATAATAATAAGAAGTACTTCGTACAGAATATTTTCTTCGCGAAGGTATTTAAAAAAATATATGCTCAATGTCGTTAACAATATGGTGTAATTTAGCTTGTCTCAAGAGTCGAGCACCATTTTGTTGACAAACGTCAGTGATCGGTACTGCGCCGAAGACATAGGGCTGACTTCGGTAAAATGATGTGTGACATGAGGTGCCAAACTGCGGAAAATGGCGGAGGAAATACATGAATAAGATTGAATTATATTTTGTGTTTCTAATCTTATTCAGGCAATTAAAAATACTGCAGAGTATTAATTACACCATCGTTTTTACAAATTGTTTATTGTCTTTACAATACAAATGGGTGAAGAATAAGTGCGTGCGTCAATACTCGCTCGTGATTGTCCTGTCGATTAGGTACCTCAGGAGGGGTAGTCGCGCGTGTTTTGTTTTCGATGCAAACTCGCGGAGATGAACAGGCCTGGTAAAACTCGCACTAAGCGTTTCGACGACTCGTTTATAATGCGAACAGCTAGGGACTGGAATTCGCTGCCTGCTGCTGTATTTCCTGAACACTATAATCCGGGCGTTTTCAATGCGAGAGTGAATAAGCACTTCAGGGCAGATATGTACCATCTTAGACTGCGTCTCACTTAAGTCTTAACACCAGGTGCGATTGCGGTCAAATACCTGCCTTGTTTAGCATACCTCGGGCAGACAGACATATCGAAACTATAAGGGTTCCTTGTTGGACAATGGAACGCTAAAAATGGCCAAAAAGTTGACCACACAACCTTGCTTCGGGTATCACGGATTATTTGACGCTGACTACCACCAACTCAATGTATTACTGAAGAATAACTGCCGTGTTGTCAAACTACGATAGAGATCGATTCATTCACAAAGACGCGCCCCACCATTCTTCCGATAATGTTTGAGTGTTATCGGTGCACGCTAAATTATCCATAAGTGCACATGCAAACTACAATAATAACTCTGGATCAAACTCCTCGCACCTGCTTCGAGCTTCCCTCGACCAAAAATTGGAGGGGCGCGCCTTCGTGGATGAAACGATCTATACGTTTTTATAGGCATTAATATCTCACCTCAACTCACCTGATCAGCGTGATTAGTATAGTCCATATCCTCCACTTGCCTCTGATAAATTAAAGAGGGTGCTCTTGCAATAGAGACTAAATTATCTATATATATGATGATAATGAGTCTTATAAATAACTTCTCCGGAGAGTTTTTGTATGAAATACTTATCCATACTTCACCTCATGTGTCTGTAAATAGTTCCTTAAGTTTTATGATGCAGATAAAATCTTAAAACCTATTAGTTACTGCTCTTACGAGTCTGACATGATGATGATGAGTCACAAATATTACTCAGCCCAAGTGTTTATAAAAGGAGTCTGTATGAAACTCCTATCCAAACTTCACTCCTTTTTCTGTAAACGGTTCCATCTCGCTTTCTGATGCAGATAAAATCTCGGAACCTATTACTGATGCAAATCAATGATAAACATTCTCGAAGACATGTTGAAACGTTCTTTGTACATGGTCGCGAAGTAAGCGTATTTGTGCATAGGCAATATCTCTGCGGACGTTTATGCTAATACTCCTAACAGGCGGCAATATAAACGGATCTGACTGGTCTACTCGCCACTCGGAGATTATTCCCAATTCTACAGTAAATATAAATCAAAGCTTTTGTACTATAAAATGGCTTCTATTTTGTTCGGAGTTGTAAAAGCCGACATTTATACGAACGCATAGAGGACGAACGGTATTTGTAATTCAATTTAGTTTTACAGTTTTAAACGTGAACGCTTGCACAGAGTATCATTTTAGCGGGGCCACTAAAACGCACGCGCAACGTTCTATGCAACTGCAGCTAATAGACTTCGGTTAGGATTTATGTAAGTGCATGTTCTGCGCGGTTTATGTGAATAGACGCCATAAAACAGCCGGGCCTTTAACGATAGTTAATAAATTTTTATCATTGAAGCGTTCGCAAGCGCTGGGCGCACGTTGTTGGCGGGTGTAGAGTAGCGCGGTGCGCCGGCGGCGGCGGTCGTGTAGTGCTGAGACCGGCGGAAAACACGCGGCATGGTGAGGTTTCCCGTCAACATGACTTATCGGCTTTCTCGCAGAACACTGTAAACCTTCGCACTTAACGCCCGCGCTCGCTCAAACTTGTTTACTGAAAGCTGCATAAAATCCTAAACGATTTGCCAATCTTCGGAAAATGAACCCTCTTTGTGTTAAATAACCTCCGCCGTATTGTAGCTAAAAGATGCTTTTTTGTTCTTGCTCAACTACAAATGCACATGCATTTGTTTGTATTATCATACGTAATTAGAAAGATGTCGCTTTCATGGTCGGGTCGTATACGAGGTTACACATTTGTGCCTGTGTAAAAAAAATAAACTTTTACCTACTTAACATTAGCATAATATTTATTTTCAACGCGCTGAAGCTGAAGTGCGATGTACGTCAGTTATTTTACTGTTGCATTAACTTGTTGGAATGTGACTTTATGTTGTGTATAAGTAATAGGTAATTCTTTACAAGTACGCGTGGACGAGTGTATTGTTGTTGGAGCTACTGCTATTTTATATTTACCAACATATTAGTTGGTCAGATGAAACAATGAGGTAAAGTTGTTTTTTATTATCAAAGTAGTCCCGCGTTTTAAAATAATAATTAAGCCATCTAAAATACAGGTAAGAAAAAGCTATGACCTACATTTTAGCTCTAAGCCGCCAAGTCGGGAGGCATGTGGCTATAAACTATAAAGCTACAGTAATCAGCAACAGGCGGAATGTGTGCTTGATTGCCGTCTCAATCAAAGCAAGATTTACAGTTCCCGCCGCCTCAATAGCTGCAATGCAAGGACGCTGTGAGCCGCTGACTTCTTTGACAGGCGTCGTTATCGACGGAGCGCCAATTAGTGTTGCCGACTTAACAGCCAGCCGCTAGGGCCCCATTAGCTAATGCTTCTTAAACTATGATTACTGATGGACTTGTTGGAATACTAATTTAGCTTATAAATCTTTAATTCGTCATGCATTTCGTTAACAAAATATGAATGAGTTGTGATGTAGCGTTGGTAACTAATGATTGCATTCAAATCGATTCGGCCCTTCTAGATTGGCAGTCTTAAATTGACATTTAGGAGCGACGATAAATAAAATGGTGAGGGGCTTCGACTGCCTGAGACTTTATTTTAAGTTCTGTCAATGCGGCTGTAAGCGCCCACAAGCGAAGGAGATCCTTTCGAAGTTTATTTGGTTCATATGATTGAACGTACAGCTTAGTAAAGTTACTAAGAACCAAAATGACAACCTCTCAGCAGTGTCATGCTTTAGTGTAGAACCCAGAACATAACGTTGGTATTCTGTGTGAACTACAGATTTCGACAAGCGAATGCCAACCATAAGTCTACAACATAAATAAGTCATTTTACAAATATAAATCCTTCGTATTCCAGGTGACGAAAAACAAAACGTGGAAGGACATAGCGGGTCTGCTGGGCATAGGCGCGTCGTCGTCGGCTGCCTACACGCTACGGAAGCACTACACGAAGAACCTGCTAGCATACGAGTGCCACTTCGACCGCGGCGGCATCGACCCGCAGCCCATCATCAACCAGGTCGAAGCGTCCACCAAGAAGAAGAGCGGCAAGTCCAACAACAACTCCACGGCAGGTTGGTATTGTTGACAAATGTTTGCTACCCTATTTTGAACTCATTCCCGATGCTATTAGGCTTAATTTTACTACTTCAATAGCGACATCGGATGAGACTATACAGCTTTTTTTGTAAAATTTCACCTATTACAACTACATAAAGATGCCATATTGTTCATCTTGACATACCATCCTCGGTAATAGGCATCTCAGGCAGGCAGGTCTAGTTAGACAAGAGGCACTTTTTTAGCCAATCGAAAATCGAATAAAGGCCTTTCGACCATCTTTCGACAGTACTGTCACGTTTATGCCACTTGTCTAGGAGGCATGGTGTCAAATATCTAATAGCGTTATTATTATCATGAAATGGGGCATCAGATTTGCTGTGTAAAACAAACAATTGGCCAAAAAGTTTCTCATTGATTCTTGAAATCTACAAAGTCTAATTTGCATCAGCGTTCACTCTTAACAATAACAATGGAAGGAAGTAAAAATTTTTGAAGCCAATGACATGGGTTGATCTTAACGAAAATCTGTGGAATTTTACTGGATCAATAGGATAGTCAAAATAGAATTATGGGACTATCTTTGACCGGTAGTCTTTTGACTGTTCCATAGTGAAGAGAAGATGGTATTTTAAGGCATTCAACTGACTGTCAAGTTGAATCCCTCGATCATAACAAGACTTAGATTCGCCAATTTATTTTTGCCGTTTACTTTATATCCTGGTTTCCTGGTTGAGGTTGACAGTATATTAATATACAAGAGGAGGTAAATCTATTAACACTTTGTCCGCCAGGCTCATCAAATTCCCAAGAATCATTCCCCGGAGGCGGCGCGGGCGGCGGCGGCGGCGCGTCAATGGATGGCTACGGCGGCCAGTACGCCGGATACCCGCCGCAACCCAACCAGTCACAAGGTACGTACTTACGGATATTGTCACCTCACTAGAGGCGGGGTACGGTCAGTAGGTTAAAAATGTTGAATTTATTTGTATACTGTGGCATTTAAAGGGTTAATTTTCGAGTTCATGCCTTGCCCCGCCCATTCTAATTTGTCATCTTACTGGAAATGTGACACCCCTAGCCGTTTTGGAAGTTCTGAACGAACATTAGGGATGTCACATCGTTTTGACAGTTTTCATTGATTTCATAGCTTGCCACGGTCATTCAATTTAAACTTAACCAATGAAAGTATCAAAACGAAAATCAATATTGAATGTATAGCGATTTAGAAGTTAGTATAGTACGGTCAGCACACCTTCAGTTAGCACGGCGTGTTAAATGCTGTAAATGAGCTGAATAGAACTCGCGTTTCAGGAGTCTTGTTTTATGTAAATATATTTTAATCATACTTCATAACTTAAGTGCTTGAGTCCATTTAGTTGACTTATCTGTGCTTTTTTACCCAACACCTTTGGGTTCTATTTGGTTGGTTAGTTTTAAAATATTTTACTTGCCGGTTTTCGCTATTACATTTTAGCTGCTTCAAATATATATTTTTTTACCTCACGTAGAGTAAGATAGTGAGTCGATATCGTTTATTGACGACGTTACAAAATTGTTAATAGAATCGAGCTAAAACAGGGCTCCTGTGACGTCACAGGCGCCAGCGTCGCTTGTTCCGTTTCGTTGCGCCGTCTAACGCGCGCCACTGACCGATCACTGCTAACGGTTCATACTGCTTATCACTAATCCTAACCATCGCACCGGTTACGAGCTAGCTACTGACATAACTGAAGCCCGATTTTTAACTGAAAATACACCACCACACATTTTGGTGGCGGGTTCCGTCACCTTCTGTGTATACGGTATACAGGCTGCACACTTTGCCCTTTACCTAAAAATATTTTTGGAACGTTTGAGTTATAAAATTGGGCAAAGTTAACAACAATCGTCGCACAGACGTTGTTAGACAGTAGCTTCCTCGGCGTGGCACTAAGACGTGTGGTTGTAGGCGGCGGGCCGGGCGGCGACAACCTCGCCGCCTCCAACCCTTTCGACGAGCCGCCGGGGCCGCGCAGACCCCCAGGTACTTAACCCCCCTCACTCTCTTCGGCTGGGCCTCATCCAAACTTAACCTGCAACGTTGCAACTCGACCGTAACGTCACTAATCGTCTAAGGGTGTTTTTAATATCGTGCGAATTTTGCATTCGGCATGCGATATGCCCAGAAGTGTCCTTTTCATACAAGTATTTGCGCTTGCCGCACGTCTCGCGTGCGTATCTATTCTACACATTAAAATAAATACTTGTATGAAAAGGACACTTGCGGGTGTCACGCATGCGGGGCAATCCCGCGTCAATGAAGAAATCCGCACGATATTTAAAACCCTAAGCCCATTTTTTTTATTAACCCTGCCGATTATTGCGTGTCACATTTTACTTGGATTAAAATTGTGTGATTTAAGTTTGGAATGGGAACAGCCGATGTTGCTATTTGACTAATCGCATGTTTCATCTGATATTGTTGACTCTAACTCCATCATATCACGGTGCTCATAAAAACGCGCTACGTTGACTGTAAAATATTACAGTGTAACATGGTAACGGTCAGTTTGTGTGGTGATGGCTGATGGGTTTCATGATTTCATCTTATTGTTTCTTGTTACTTTCACAAATATTGTGAAACTTTGTATTTTGTTATATTATTTGCAAATCATGGTTTTGTATTGTAGGGGTTGAGCGATTTTACATATTTTGGCCGCATTTTTATTGTTTGCTGTTTATGTTAGTGGTGAACTTTGTGCATGAGTTAAGTATAATCTAGTGTAAAAAAGAGTTAGTGTGTAATTAGTGCTTATTATTTTGGATAGAAAACAAAGATCTAATTAATTTAGTTCAATGCAATTTACGAATTTGTTTTGCAGGTTACCAGCAAGGTTACGGGTATGAATATGGATCTCCTTACCAGCCCAATAGGCCAGTATATCCCCCCTATGGACCCGACGGTGACAGGTAAGATGTCCAAAAAATTACTTATATTTTATACATTGTTTTCTACAATAAAAACATCACTAGTAATCTTCTTGGTCCATGTCGTTGAACCATTTAACGAGCTTGTCTAAAGGCCACCTGGGAGTCGTGTAGCTTAACCTACAGGATCTCATTGAGTCGGCGGCCCAAAAATATTAAAATGTATACTGTGTTTAGTTTCTTGGCAGTCAAAAACAGTCTTCTAACATCGTCAACAGTCTCTTTTTTATTACAATTAACATTTGATATAGTCTGGTCCGGGAGCACGTAGAATTTTGTCTAATGACCCCAAGCTATCCATCCTTATCGCTCGCGCATAATTATGTTGCTATCACGTTCGCACACTCACTGCGGGCGTCCGTCCCACAGTCGCGACAGCAATATAATTACGCGCGAGCGATAAGGATGGGTAGCTTGGGGTTATTGGACAAAATTCTACGTGCTCCCGGACCAGACTATAGAAAAGAACCAATCATTCTTCTTGTCGGCCGTTTGGTGTAGTGGTCCGAAACGGACTACTATTCCGGAGGTAGCGGGTTCGATTCCTACACAGTACAAACATTTGTGTTCATGAACATATTTGTTTGTATTGGACTGGGTGTTTTCTATGTATAATAAGTATGTATTTACAAAAAAAAAAGTATTTAAGTATGTTTATATCCGTTGTCTAGTACCCATAGTACAAGCTTTGCTTAGTTTGGGACTAGAAGCGCAGTGTTAAATGTCCAAGGATATTTATTTATTATTTATTCTGTGGTCAAACTATTCGTATTAGGGTAACCACACATCAGAAAATTAATGGATAACTTTTATAATAATACTTACATTAACTTAAACTTGAATGTGGTTAAAATGCTAATTTTGATATTTTTTTGGGTAATTGATTTGTAACAAAAATGTAATATGAATTTGCATGGTTATCCAGGGGGTACCGGACGGGCGGCGAGTACCAGTACGGCGGCTACGGCGGCGGCTACCGCGGGGGCCCGGGCGCGGGCGGCGCGGGCGCGGGCCCCGCCCCCGCCGGCACGCCGCCGCCCGCGCAGCCCTACCCCGACTACTACCGCGCGCCGCACCCGCACCCGCCGCACTCGCCGCACCCGCACCCGCCGCACCAGCCGCACCAGCCGCACCCGCCGCACCAGCCGCACCAACCTCCGCACGAGGTGAGTCCCAAACATCTGAGCAACCCAAACTGCTGTTATCTATACAGGGTGGAAACGATAAGTGATCTCATTCGATTATTTCTAAACTATACAAGATATCGAAAAACTGGTTACTGAAATACTGATGTTGAAAGTGCTTCACGAGCTGTATCTAACGGTACCAATAATAGGTTACAGAATTAACCGATCTATCCGAAAATTAAATGTTTTCAGCCTCCATACTAAATGTATGTCAGCCAAACAAAATTAAAAGTATTTTTTTTTATTTAACAATAAACACTTAAAATGAACTCGTAAATTGCATTCTTATTTAAAATTATTCATGGAAAACATTGGTTTTAGGCTTTACTTGCTATAATATTATCAAGACATGAGTGCCATGACTGTTGCTGTGCTAAATGTATGGAAGCTGGAAACATTGAATTTTCAGATAGATCCAGTTAATTTGGTAACCTATTATTGGTACCATTGGATAGAGCTCTTAAAGCACTTTCAGGATCAGTAACCAGTTTATGGATATCTTGTATAGTTTAGAAATAATCGAGTGAGATCACTTATCGTTTCCACCTTGTATATATAAAAGAAAGTCGTGTTAGTTACTCCACTTATAACTCAAGAACGGCTGAACCGATTTAGCTGAAAATTGTCAGGGAGGTAGTTTAGAGCCAGGAGAAGGACATACTTTTTATCACGTTCGAAATAAAAAAAAAGTCTGCTTATTTATTGCCATTAAGGCGGAACAAAGTTCGCCGGGTCAGCTAGTGAACTTATAGTTTACGATTTACTTAGGTTAATATCAGTGGGTCGGACGCAGAATGTGCACTACTCAAAATGCGTACCTTTCCGTACTAATTTTAAGGCCCGTGATTGTCCTGTCGATTAGATATCTCAAGAGGTGTAGTCGCGCGTGTTTTGTTTTCGATGCAAACTCGTGTAGATGAACAGGCCTGGTATAACTGGCACATTGACAGTTTCAGTATGGGAATTATGTCAAAACTGATGATTTATGTGAAATTTAGTGTATCATAGATCGTCATAAATTATAGACTATATGTTATTCTGGGTTATAAACAATAATACTGTGAAGTTTCATCAAAATCCGTTCAGCAGTTTTTGCGTGAAAGAGTAACAAACATCCATACAAACTTTCGCATTTATAATATTTATAATATTAGTAAGATTAATATTTACTCTTGTTTGGTCGAATCCACCCTAAACTGAAAAATTTGTATAATATTTCACTGCCTGCTGCTGTCTTTCCCGAAAACATTAATTCAGGCCTTTTCAAGGCGATATGAATAGACACAGAGCAGATATGTACCATCCTAGACTGAATCTCACTTATCAGGCGCGATTGCGGTCAAATACCTACTTTGTTCTGCATAAAAAAATTGTATAGAATAGTGCACACACTGCGTTAAACCCCGATTAGTGCCGTAACTAGCCTTTACGCCCTGTGCTAGCTGCTATAACTGCGCTTGGGCCCTGGGCCCTAGTTACGGCACTGAATACGATTGAAACTTCGTACGCGCAACTCCGAATCTTAGTGTCAAAATAAAATATATATTAAATCAATCAATTTCATTATATGGATAGGAAAATCACTAGGATGGAGGCGTTTACGATGATCCAACTTTACTAATTGTCAGTCTTGGCTAGTTTAGTATTTTATAAGTTTAAAATCTTTCAGTGTCAAACTATTGCTTGTTACGATGCATGTTGAATTGTTGAATACCATGATTCTTCTTTACCTAGCCAACACTGATCAATCCCTGTTTTAATGAAAACTGACATTTATTTTTGGAAAACAACATTTGCCAGGAAAGTAAAGATAAATCGTTTCCAAAAATGAATTTCAGTTTCAGTTAGTAAATAGGATGATAGGTACGACTGTATGCACGACCTATTTTGATATGCAAGTTCTATATCTAGTATTATTAAAGTCAAAATATTTGTTATTGTTAATTCCCCTATATTTGCTTTATTATTTTATCTAGAGAATTTTTCAATATTTATTATACGATGTATGTTTGTAATGTCAGTGTATGTCTTCCGTGCATGGACTGCATGAAAGCAATTATTGTGGACGTATGCAGAAATGTGCTTTACGTATCGTACTGTGATACTGTGTCAGGGCATGACTTTAAAATGATTCCCTCTACCTCTACCATCTAATTTGGAATCGAATAGGATATGTATTGGAAACCAAATTATATCTTAGAATAGTATGATTAGAAAATGTAGCTTTTAAACTCTGCATGGATGAAATAAGACTTAGAAATTTTTATGTGATAAGTTATTTTATACATTGATAAAACATACATTATAAATTTAAGCTTCTTTTTTCTTTAGTGTAAAGGAAATAGGAGATACAGGAATACCATTTCCAAGTTTTAGGGCTTATACTGATCCAAAAGATTCCATCCACCAATGAAAGTTCCCTCTCGGTGGACTCAAGTACACAGCGTAGACATCGCTGCAGCGATGACGTCACTTGCCGCCGTGCCGTAGTGTTGACGCTCTGTTGTGGTGTGTAGGTGTCGGGCGGGCAGGGCCAAGCTGCTGGTATAATGAGCTCGCAGCTCGCGCGGCAGCTGGTGGCGCCGCTGCCCTCCCCGCGTGTCCCCTACGTACGGACGCCCCGTTTGTACCACGCACTCAACACCGCTTCCCATCGATTGGCGACCGGTCATACTCACCCGCACGGAACCGCGAGCACTCCCGCCTCGATTATCGATAGTGAAGCGTCCACTCGATTAGGCTACTCGGCGATGCGATTTCTGGCTTTATCTATCGCTCTTGTCAGACTCTGAGGTGGAATTGTGTAAAGCAATCGTTATCATTTGACAGTTCATAACGTACGATTATTCTGTCAAACGCTTTGTTTAACTGACTTTATCGTACGTTATGAACTGTCAAATGATTACGATTGCTTTACACAATTCCACCTCTGAATGGGTGCGAGAGACAAAGCCGGAAATATAGAAATCCTGGCAAAAGTAGCCTCGTATCTACGTATCGTTTCGGATATAGTCGCACTATCTGTCCCTTTCTAATTACGTGCGCTCACGCCATCAACAGTTTTATCCTACGTAAATAGAAAGAAGCAGAATCATGCTATCGCCGTAAACGATTCGTTAGATATGAGAACAATCGATTTGACTATTTGCCGATAAGATTGTTCATTTGATTCGATCATTCGATAAAACCATATTTGATGGCGATTCAGTTCATCCACCGAAATGAGTTTTAAAATGATATCAAGTACGAGTCAAATGAATATGTATTCGTGTCGACTATCGAGGTGGGACGTCAATCTCATCCGTGGTTTTGGCTTCATTTAATTATTTTTGAATAATACCACTCGCTTGACAAAATTTTAAGCTATCACTGTTAATTTTCTTCTGTTTTCGTTTAACTAAATTGGCTTGCGGTGTGATTAATTAATTGGCTTAACGATTGTTATTCGTCGGGCATCCGCCCCGGCGACGGCTCAAAATTTTATTTCGTCCGATGGCTCTTTCAAAATTTAACAAATAATCACAATATGGAAGTAAAGGTATAGAGTGTGTGGTGGTGGCTTATCTGACGACAAATTTTTGATCACTAAATCATGTGCATGCTTTCACATATTTCATGTAAGCTTAGCTATAAGTATGGTTATGTAGCTTTTTAATTACGGTATGACTCAATCGAGTGTATTATGTTTATATCATGTTTGTATGTATTTTTAATATTTAAAACATTTGATCGAGTCAATCGTTTGTAAGTAATAAAATCATCAAAATAATCGTCCATATTTTGGGTGCACTTGCACAGTGTATCAACACGTTTTTGTTATTTTTTCGATAGACCCTGTATTTTGAAACCATCATTATCATTTCGATCGTTTGACTTCTTAACATCTAGTTCAGGTATATCCTTAATAAGAGCTGAAAATAATATTTATTTTGGAATGAAGTTCGAAGAAAATACTTTATTGCAGTGTTGAGTTTTTATCTTATGTATTTATAAAATCCAGTGTTTAAAAACAATGTTACAATGTATGAAGAAACTGCCACAGCTAGATTTAACTCACGGTCAAACGTTCGAAAGCGGGGTCTTCGAGCCACCATAGTAACATCACTAATTTGCCATCCACCGCGCCCACAGTACGGCGGCAAGGCGATCGGAGCGGGCGCGGGAGTCCAACCGCCCGCGGGCACGCCGCGACGGCACCCGGACTTCGCGAAGGCGGACGGGTACGCGGGCCCGGTCGCGCCGGGCGGCGGGCCGCCGGGCCCGGGCGCGCCGACGGCCGGGCCGGGGNTTTAAGTGTAAAATGTTAAAAATGAATATATGAGAGTAAAACAAAAAAGCCGTCGAAGTACTTCTTTGGGATTTTTTTTTATCGGACAAACTATGCAATATCGTGTTTTGGAAAAGTTGTCGCCCTAGTTAAAGACATTAACTTACTCCTACAATTTTTTGTTTGCTAAAATATCTTTTCATTTAGAAACTATCTGCAAACAAAATCGGTCAAATATCGACAATTTGGGAAATCATGGCCTTAAGTAACTAAACTGACTAAAAACCGTACGCAGTTTGGTCGAGTACAGTGCAGTTTACAATTAATTTGTCGGCAGCTGCACAAATGGTTTTTGTAAAAACTTGGTTAAACCGTCCGGTTCGGACTCGCTTACATTTTTGGTGTTCGGGCACGTTTAGATACTAAATTACTCACCACTCGCCTAAATTACTCTACTAATGCGAACAATGCTATAGGTTCAGTTTGCACTTCGCTCTGCTTCTTTCTATATTAACTGCAGTATCTCACAATCATGGTCGAATTAGTGGTGAAAAATCTTGTGAATTAGTTTACCATGATTGTGGGATTTTAAAATAACTCGGATACATAATATCGCAGTTAGTTCTTGATTCAATATCATGTCAATAGTAATTGGGAATGTGAATGAATTACTTAAAAGTTATAGTTCCATAGTGAATGTAATGCATTCACGTTATGACATTACTCACATTTTAAATCACGATGCGATCACTCACGGTGTAACAATAGGAATGATGACTGGGTAATGAAATCGAAATTATATTTAGTCCGTCAGACAGATAATAAAAAAATGTTGGACACATTTTTTAAATTTTTTCATAATCGAATAATTACTGTATTATATCGAGTTACAATTATGCATAACAATAAAAAAAACTGTCGCGTGACGTCACTTTTGAGTAAAAAATCTACTCAAGCGTGACGTAACGCGCCATTTCAACTCGATGTAGCTCAGTTATTATTAAATTATGAAAAAAAAATAAAAAATATGAGTCTAATATTTTCTAATTATCTGTCTGACGGAAAAAATATGATTGAAATTTTGTCATCTAGCCTATTCATTCGGTTGACTCGGTGTTTCTATAAACGATACGTGAAATACTTCGATAAATATTTTGGTCACGTGGGTGGTTTCATGTGTCCAACCGGCGAGTGGTACTAGTGGTAAAGTAATTATGTTGCTGTCGCGCTCGCACACTCACTGCGGGCGCCCGTCGCACAGTCGCGACAGCAATATAATTACGCGCGAGCGATAAGGATGGGTAGCTTGGGGTCATTGGACGGGATTCTACGTGCTCACGGACCAGGCTTTAGTAACCAAGCTGTGTGGATGCTTTGTAGACGTCCGGCGCGGCGTGGGGCGGCGCGCCGCGGCCCTCGCACGAGCCCTACCCCGCCGCGCCATCGCCCGTGAGTTCATTCACCTCATGTCACCACCCCCCATATAAGGTCACAACCACCACATCGCCCTCAGCCATGTTGACGTGGCAGTTGAGACAAATGGCAATGCCAGATTTTGTATGGAAGGTGGCGTCTTTTTTTTTTTACTATTAGATTGCAATTTCTTACAAAAGATCCGCACAAAATGCAACTCTAGTATGTAAAATCATCAAACTTCTAAGGCTCGTAACTCAGTTCAGACTGAGTTTAGAGGTATAGGTACATGTCATAATAAGTTTGGTTTATTACACTATTTTGGAATAAAAAAACAAGGTTTGATCGATGGCCGCGCGAAAAAAAAGACGCCAATTTCCGGCATTGTCTTTTGTTGCAACCACCACGGCAGTGGATGTGATAAATAAAGTTTCATCTACAAACATTGAGTCTTTAATTTACTACGGTGAATAAAAAAGTACCAGGAGGCCTAAGATGCTCGCCGTGTTAAGCTTTTATCGCGCCATTTTATCGATTTTACGTGATAAGCCTATACGTTTGTCGTCTAAAATGATCGATAAGATTTTATCATGGCGCGCATCCTAGTCCGACTGGGCAACATAAGGAGCTATTTCTAACTCTTTTTTTGCTTACCCGAGAAAAAAATCTGCCGGGCAAAGTGGTGGGTGGAACCTACTCCCTCGCACACTCATGAGTCCTGCCTTCATAGCATGCCATGCCTGCTTTCACCAATTTCTTGCGTTGTCGCTCTGAACACTAACTACGGACATGAAAAGCTTAGCATAAATAGCATCTAGATTCCTAGACCTAAGGCAAATTCTATCACCAACTTCTTGAAACTGATCTGGGTCTACAGACAACACCACATTATTACTCTTTGTGATAAATGTGTAATATGAGCAAAATATACTAATAACGCTGAGTTGCACCATCGTATTTTAACCATAATAATGACCGGTGCTTTTTGTATGGAGTTTGACAGATTTTTGACGTTTGTCTAAGTTAAAGTGTTGTCTCACTCAGCCTAAATGTATACAGGGTGACAGGTAAAGCGATACATTCCTTGAAAGGGGTTAAAGTAGAGCTTATTTGCAGTCATTTAAGTCATATGACACCATGTCCGAAACTTGTTCATTTCCAAGTTATTCAAGATTTATGTATTTTTTTAAAAATCTCCAGTTTTTATGTTAAAATGTACCCTTGTAACGAAGAATACGGAATAATGTTAACTTTTTTGTTGTATTCGTATAGCTAAATAATAAGATTGACATTTTAAATTAAAATTTGCAAGAAAGAATCGTCATTACTCAAGTAAAAGCTAAAAAACTATGTATTATTTTGCAAAAAAAATATGTTTTAGGTAATTAAACGAAGAATTTCCAAGAAAAAATGTATGGAATGTTGTGTACAAATTACAGAATTTAGTTCCTTAATTCATTAGCTATTCAAAAAGGTACAGGTGTTTAACAAACACTACATAATTATTTTTTTTGTAGTGTTTGTTAAACACCTGTACCTTTTTGAATAGCTAATGAATCAAGGAACTAAATTCTGTAATTTGTACACAACATTCCATACATTTTTTCTTGGAAATTCTTCGTTTAATTACCTAAAACATATTTTTTTTGCAAAATAATACATGGTTTTTTAGCTTTTACTTGAGTAATGACGATTCTTTCTTGCAAATTTTAATTTAAAATGTCAATCTTATTATTTAGCTATACGAATACAACAAAAAAGTTAACATTATTCCGTATTCTTCATTACAAGGGTACATTTTAACATAAAAACTGGAGATTTTAAAAAAAATACTTAAATCTTGAATAACTTGGAAATGAACAAGTTTCGGACATGGTGTCATATGACTTAAATGACTGCAAATAAGCTCTACTTTAACCCCTTTCAAGGAATGTATCGCTTTACCTGTCACCCTGTATGTATGATATACATTGTTGGAAACTTCTGGCAGTGGTTAGTAGTTCAGTATGTGGCAACGCTGGGAGATGCTTGAAACGATCAATAAATATGAACATCAAATCTTGATTTGGTTGAAACATGCTACAAACGTTTACTCGCCACTCGAGGTTAGGTGTATTTTGAATACCTATGGATATTGCCGTAAATCCCTGACGAATCGACGTTTATTTACAGAGCACACCGTCAGGAATGGCGGGCGGGCAGATAAAGCGAGAAATGACGTTCCCCGCGGAATGCGTAGAGGCGGCGCTGCCCACCGGCGACAAGCGGCGCCGCCTCACCAAGGCCGACGTGGCGCCGGTGGACGCCTGGCGCATCATGATGGCGCTCAAGTCCGGGCTGCTGGCCGAGACGTGCTGGGCGCTCGACATCCTCAACATCTTGCTGTTCGACGACAACTGCATAGGCTACTTCGGGCTGCAGCACATGCCCGGCCTGCTCGACCTGCTGTTGGAACACTTTCACAGGTGAGGCGCTCGGACTCGATATCACCCCAATTGTGATTTTGCGACTAATCCGAAGAACGCTAGATCATTATAGTGAACCCATAATATTTAGCTTACCATGAGGGGTTAGCGGGATTTGAATTTACAAATTGCTAATGTTAATGTTATGAATGAAACTCGTAACATTTGTGCTGATCGCCACCCTAATTAATTTACAGAAGTTTAAGTGAAGTGTTCGACGCGCCGACGACGGAGGAGACCCCCTGGTACGCGCGGCCCGCCAGCCCCACGCCGCCGCGGGCCGCGCGCCGCCGCCTCGAGCCGCCCGACCCCGCCGAGCGCGTGCGCGTGCTCGCCGGCGACAACTACACGCTCGAGACGCGCCGCCGCCAGCCCGTCACCCTGCGCGCCGGCGACGAGCTGTTCGCGCCCGAGCCCTGCGCCGCGCCGCGCGCCGCGCTCGACGACGTGCTCGAGCCCTGGCAGCACGCCGAGCCCGCCGCCGCGCACCTCGTGCCCTGCTTCCGCGCCGACTACCTGCACCTGCCCTTCGCGCGCCTGCTGCCCGGCCGCCGCGCGCCCAGCCCGCCGGCGCCCGCGGCGACCGCGTCGACCGCGCCGGCGCCGGCCGCCACGCCCGCGCCCGCCCCCGCCGCGCCCGACGCGGACAACCTCGAGGCCGAGCCCATGGAGCTGGAGCCCGAGCGCGAGCGCCGGCCCGCGCTGCAGGTGCGCGACCCGGCCGGCGTGCTCAAGCGCCGCCGCCTCGAGGACTACGAGGACGAGTGCTACACGCGCGACGAGCCCAGCCTCAACCTCGTGGACGAGACGCGCGACGCGCTCGCCAAGCGCTGCGTGGCGCTGTCCAACATTCTGCGCGGGCTCACGTTCGTGCCCGGCAACGAGGCCGAGTTCTCGCGCTCCGGCGCCTTCCTGGCGCTGGCCGGCAAGCTGCTGCTGCTGCACCACGAGCACGCGCCGCGCGCCGCCCGCGCGCGCGCCTACGAGCCGGCGCGCGACGACGCCGAGCCCGACGCCTGCTGCTCGTCGCTGCGCGGCGCCGCCGAGTGGTGGTGGGACGCGCTGGCGCAGCTGCGCGAGGACGCGCTCGTGTGCTGCGCCAACGTGGCGGGCGGCGTGGAGCTGGCGGCGCAGCCCGAGGCCGTGGCGCGGCCGCTGCTGGACGGGCTGCTGCACTGGAGCGTGTGCCCGGCGGCCGTGGCCGGCGACGCGCCGCCCGCCGCGCACGCCGGCTCGCCGCTGTCGCCGCGCCGCCTGGCGCTGGAGGCGCTGTGCAAGCTGTGCGTGACGGACGCCAACGTGGACCTGGTGCTGGCCACGCCGCCGCGCGGCCGCATCGGCGCGCTGTGCGCGGGGCTGGCGCGCGACCTGTGCCGGCCGGAGCGGCCGGTGGTGCGCGAGTTCGCCGTGAACCTGCTGCACTACCTGGCGGGCGCGGGCGGCGGCGCGGCGCGCGAGGTGGCGGCGCAGGCGGCGGCCGTGGCGCAGCTGGTGGCGTTCATCGAGCGCGCCGAGCACGCGGCGCTGGGCGTGGTGAACCAGCACGGCGTGGCGGCGCTGCGCGACAACCCGGACGCGATGGGCACGTCGCTGGACATGCTGCGGCGCGCGGCGGCCACGCTGCGGCGGCTGGCGGGGCACGCGGAGAACCGGCCGCTGCTGCGGCGGCACGAGCGGCGGCTGCTGGCGCTGGTGATGAGCCAGATCCTGGACCAGAAGGTGGCGCACGAGCTGGCGGGCGTGCTGTTCGCGCTGGCGCAGGCGCGCGACTGAGTGTGACGTCACGCGCCGTGTACATAGGGGGCGCCGGCCGGACTGTTAGCCCCTCCGGTTTTGTTATTTATGTCCGTGATGATTTATTTACGAGAATGTCGATGTGCATTACGATTTCTATTGTTCGATCGAAGAAAGATGTATTATAACTCGTAATTTTGATTTTTATAATAAAATGGGACTTGAATCTGTTTATTGGTTTTATGATGGAGATTTTATACCGAGTACCTTTAGCGCCTTTGTCTATAAGAGAATACGTAGTGGAGAGTGTGAGGAGCTTATGTGGGCTATAAGTTTTAATTAAGTTTAATGTGAATTATTACAATAATCTATAATATATTGAAATTGAATCTGAATTTTATTTATTTATTTTGTGAATTGGCATTTTATGATTTTGTACACCTCGTTTAAAATTCACATTTTAAAATAAAAACAGAAGCAAGTATATCAGAATTTTTAAAATTACCTTTGGGGCCTTATTTCTTTTATCGTAAATTGGGGGATAATATATTTTTTGTTATTGTTTTGATAACTCATTTCTATTCACACAAAAAATAATTAAAATGAGGGGAAAAAATATGAAATAAAAACCCTTTGCCCTACCCTCTAGTATATTATCCCTTTGTTAGAAAACCTGTTATGTACCTGTATACCTAGTAGACGCACCCTTTCCGTCGCTAAAAGAGTTCGTTTCAGCCGAAAGACGTCCACTGCTGGACAAAGGCCTCCCCCAAGGATAAAATAATATCATCATCATCATTTCAGCCATAGGACGTCCACTGCTGAACATAGGCCTCCCCTAATGCTTTCCACGTTGATCGATTGGTAGCGGCCTGCATCCAGCGCTTCCCTGCTACCTTTACGATGTCGTCAGTCCACCTTGTAGGTGCGTTTTCCGGTACGCGGCCTTCATTCCAGAACCTTGCTGCCCCATCGGCCGTCAGTTCTGCGTACTATATGCCCTGCCTGTATAAAATAATATAGTAAAAGAGTAAAATAATATTATTTATTTGAGATTTTAATATTATTATGCTAACTGCAAAACGTGCTGAGCTGTAAAACACTACTTATAAAACTTTTTCTTATGCCTGTAACTGCTGCTCCTGCAGAGAAACACAAGGCAAAATAGCTAGTGGAGAAATAAATTGATGCTATATTATTGTAGGCGCGCGCTATTCCTTTTATTTATTTTATTATGCGAATAACTATTTAATTTGCTAGGTTTGGTAAAACTTTGCAACAAAAAATCTGCACAGAAGTAAAGTTTATTTTGGCGCGAAATATAAGCACAGTTTGACATTTCAACAAGAAATACACATGACTGGAATTTGGCGCGTAATTTAAATTTAGAACTGCCTTTCAAAAGGGTTTCCTTGAACTTAAATGAAAATGGTCGCTTTGATAGGGAAAACTTGGAAGTAAACATAAGAAAAATGAATTAATGTTGTTGGCTTTTCTTGAACTGCCTGGCTTTCACTGCACGCATTAGGTAAAAATGCTGTCCATGTAGAAAAGTAAAGTTCTGTCGAGTTGGAAATGAGATTGTATGAAAGATAAGTAATTTTTTTTATTTTCCTATTATTTTTCAAAGTCAATGGGTTCGATCCCCATTGCCTAACAAGGGTTTTCATTAATAGTGGAGTAAGATGATGGAATAGTTTTAGTAGTTCCCAGTTTCTGCGTGAATTTGTGGTAAGATTGGAAGAAGTAAAATAGGCGAACTTAATGCCATATGGCATTCTCATCTTCCAGTCAACCGTTGGGCATAACAGAAAATCAAAGAATTTTAACGCGCGTGGCCCGTTTGTGATACTATAAGTAATTTTTTTACCAATGGGTAACTGCATAACTGTTACACAAAATGGTGTGACTCAACGGGAACATAGGGTTGTCAAAATTCGGGATATAAAGTATCCTGTTATCAGTCGGTTTTACAAAACCGATTTTTTTAGGATTCTGAATATTCTGATGCAGTCGATGCAGTGCGTCGCATTCTTATCAGAATGAATCATATTTTTCTGGCAGCTAAGAATAATTGACATGTGTCTCAAAATTCGTTATTCAACTATTCCTACTGATTTGTCACCCATCACTATCCGTGAATGTTTGGTTAGATTTATATTTAAAATTCCCTTTTCGTATAACGATAGCAATAGGTATTCTATATCCCAATTTTAAGTTACAGCGATGAAAATAGTAAAGTACTGTTTTAGTGTAGTTTTGTTAGTCTGATGTCGCGTGATCCTATCGATTACCTGCGATGGAGTGTCAGTCGAGCGATAGTAAAAAATTGTTCAAAGTATTCGACGCCTCGAAACGCAAGCGCACCAGGAAGAAGCGGGAAGGACTGGACGACTCGAACTCCATAGCCACGGATGACTCTACAAGCGTAAGTATGATTGGTATACCATGACCATATAGCCACGTGATTCAGCAATAACGCTCGTATTTACAAACGATGCTTGCATGTGAAGCCAGAAAATCGAACGCACAGCGTTAAATAGAGCTCTTATGATTGGTTCATGTGTCACCTTGGTGCGTCCACGCGCACTGTGTGACCTCATAGTAAGTACATAGTGTTTGTGAATACGGGCGTAAGACGTCAAGTAGGTATTGTTGATGCGAGTTGTTAGGTAAAATTCGGTTACTCTGTTCCCACCAGTTATACTGGAGTGGTGCGCGAGGTGTATTCTCTCATCATCATTGCTGTAGTGTAGCGAGCAGTGAGTCTTTATGAATGTGTTTGAAGCAAACAGATTGGTTTTAGAAAGAAAGAGATTCAGTTCTTGCATGCACTAAACATGAGTTCACTATTGCATTCTCTATTGGTAAAAAATAGGGAAATATAATTATTAATTTCACATAGGGTTGTCAAGCAACAGTGATGCGCGTTTCTTCGGCCAAGGCGAGCCTCCAAGACATTCCCACGGCACAGACGGTCGCCGTCACCGGAGACAATGTGGACCCCAAAAGGTTCCTGCTATTCCTTTTATTTTTCCTTATATTATCCATTTTATCATTTACTTTCTTTTATGAGCAATGCTGCTAAGTATAATATTACACCAAGTAGAAGGGAAACTAGCAATCTACTTAGGTAGGATTCTTCTGTTGGGTCTATCATACGAGCCTTTTTTCGTGAGGAAGCTGAGAAGCCATCGTGAAAGTGCGACCAATTTAGTTTTTTTTTTGCTTGCGGTCATCATTTTAAGTTTCTTTCTGTACGTGCAGAGATCGAGACAGCAGTCCTTCGGTGTCCCGCTCGCCAGGCCGCGGTGACACCCGCCACTCGTGTCGCTCGCCTCGACGTCATCGGCGCAGCACGTATGATTTATTTTCATATCTTTCTACAATATGTTCCGTAGTTGACATCATTACAGTAGTCTGCTCTGTTAGCCCTTAGCAGTCAGTAAGTCTAAAGTATATTTTGTCTACAGAAGGGACGGCGTTTCCTTAGCACTCAAAGCTGGTCTAGTCTCGACTCCACGCTCCACTTCGCCGCATCAGGTACTTGTCTCAATAAACGGAACGTGCTCATACTTCTTTAAGGAGTTATCTTGTGGCAATTAATAGACGTTACGTTACGTATTTTAGGAGGCCGACGGCGCTATAGACTCCATTCCGCAAGATCAAGATTCATTCATCTATGCTTTCTTAGAAGAAGCCATCAAAAGGGACAAAAAGAGGTAACGTCTGCTATTCATCATTAGATACTTATGCTTACTCAAGTAAAGTATAGGTGACAATAGCCGGCATTAGACTAAGTACCCTATTCGTTGCTAGTGTTCCTCAGTTTTTTGTTTGGCTTAAAAAAATAGCTTTGACATAAATGTCAAACGCAGGCAACGCGAGCGCCACTCTCGTCGTCACGAAGACCGGCGGATGAGCCATGAGCACGAGCGCGACGTGTCCGGCCACCGCGAGCACCGCCACCGCCACCGCCGGCGCCACGATCACGACGCCTCTAGGGAACGGGACAGGTCAGTTTAGTGGTAGGCCCTTCTCTTTCTGACTGAGACAGCCCCATATAACCTACTAGCCTACCCCCCGGCGGGCATTAAATTCATGCATTTTCCTGACGTGAAAGTATACGACACGAACCGACCACAATCTTCAAAAGCGTAGCCCTCACCCGCATGGCAAAAGATTTAGGAAGCGTTTTTTGTCATTACTCAGGCCTAAGAAAGAGGAGGCAGTGGCTCCAGCAGTTGATCAGGCTGTTCTCTTCGAAACATTTGCGAAGATATGTTCCCAGTTGAACGCGAAGTCTACTGCGTACGCTAACCCTGTGGTAAGTTCGTTTGAGTTAAAAATAGATGTGGATAAGTATCTAGTTTTATCATAAATGTAACTTTCAGCCTCGAACTCTCAGCCATAAGTCGCTGCAGTGCGAAGTGGTGTCCCGTCGCGACTCCTACGATGTAGACCACCACCCTGTGCGCCTGCGCAGCCACGAGCATTCCCGCGAGAACGTGTGCAAGACGCGCAGCCAGGACAACTGCCGCGGCCGCGTCTACAGCCACGAGCGGATATCGGCCAATCCACGACCCGATAAAGATAAATGCAACTGCTGTTACGACAAAGACGTCGCTAAATATTCCAGCAAACTCAATATGACTCGGTCAAAGATGAGAAACGTCGACGATGACAGATACCCTGACTATCCCCCTGAAAATCCCCGGAATCACTTGGACCACGGCTACAGATCTCGAGCTCCTGATAACAGAGATTACAGAGACTATGATAGAGATTTCGCGAAAGAAAAGCACTACGAAAATGATAAAAGGAGGTATTACGATCAGAAAACCAGCAGGAGTTTCGAAGTTTCAAGAGACGGGTATCCCGACGACGAGAAGTATTGTAGACGAACTGCTAGAAGCGATAACAATAAGGAGAAGCATTATGATGAAAGAGACAAATATTATGAAGAGAAGCACATGGATCCTCGTGATCGGTATTTGCCGAGTAAAGATCGTCGCGTGAAACGAAACTTGGATCGGTTCGAGCGGACATCTGTCGCATCGAGAGATGACGATTACAGGGATAGAGACAGGGACAGGTATTCAGAACGGGAAAGAGATTCAGGGCTAAGTGTTGCCGACGGAGAGAACAGCACTGTTAGCGGAAAGAGCAATTACCTGAGAGTAGTCAAAGTAAGTAATCCGCAGACATTTTACATTACAAGTAGGTACTTGGTCATGAGTTATAATAATAAAATAATTATTGCAGCAAGAAATTGCGGAGCAAAGGGAAGCTATGGACAAAATGATGAAATTGTGGAAAGAACTGATGCGTTGTTTCAAAGGAATGTCGACGCAAGGACAGACTAAATCCGTTCACGTGAGCGAATGACATATTT